TATATATATATATGTATATATACATATATTTATATATATATACTGGTGTAGGTGCATATTTTTTTTTATGTTAACCGGATATGTGTACGAGTCCCTGTTCTTGTGATTTACCGTTCTACGGTATTTTTGAACCGGATTGAGTGCTCATATGTGATATCTTATATCTCAGGTACCCCAAAGGAAAGACGGAGATGTGGCCATTGGGGTGTACAGGAACGCGCAGATGACGTCGTATCGATACATGTTTGAGAAGATTAGCGAAGTTGCTGATGGTATGTAAGCGTGTGCGTAGAGGGTTTGTGATTCATATCTGTTCAAGATTCTTCTCATATTTGCATACGTTGATATATCATTTGTAGTACACATTGCGGACCGTGTTTGTCTGTATGGTGAGTGTTCTTTGTCCTGAAGTTGCCGTGCACGACTATTGCATCGAGCAATTGAGTAGTGGTGTATTCGGCAAACGCTCTAATATCCCGCGTGGCTGTCCACATATCTGTATATGTTCTGAATAATTGCCCTTTAAAGCCCCCCCCCATTGCTGAGAATATAATCAATGTTAGTTGTCTATGAATATCCTATCCGTAGTGTGCGATATGTTTCGTTCTGATTGGTTGCTTTTAAAATAAACCCCGGCAAAGGAATTATTCAATGTGAATGATTCATTGTTAGTTCCCACTTACGTATAGTATTCTCGATAGATATACTTCTCTTATTTATACTGCTGTTTGCAGCACACGACTACTGAATTGAGCCGTTAACGATCGATATGTTGCGCAATTGGCGCCAGTTACTGGCAGTACACCAGAAGCTGTTGCTTTCCGTACACCCGCACCTTGTAAACTACACCTGTGTGATAGGAACAAAGTATATATACTGGTCCTACTGTTGCTGTTGCTTTCCGTACACCCGCACCTTGTAAACTACACCTGTGAGATAGGAACAAAGGATCTGTACTGGCCCTACTGTTGCTGTTGCTTTCCATACACTCGCACCTTGTAAACTACACCTGTGTGATAGGAACAAAGTATCTATACTGGCCCTACTGTTGCTGTTGCTCTATGTACACACGCACCTTGTAAACTACACACCTGTGTGATAGGAACAAAGTTTCTATACTGGCCCTACTGTTGCTGTTGCTCTATGTACACACACACCTTGTACACTATACCTGTGTACTAGTACCTTGTTATATTGTTGTATTGCACTCGCTCTCATGTTGTTTATATATCTGATCCAGCCTTGTCCGTAAGCGTATCGTTGACGTTGTTTCCGTGTTCTATTACAGTACACAGCTACTGTCTCGCTCGTTTGGGTATCTGTGTACTGTGCAAATATCGCAAGATTCCTTCTGACAGGATACGTAAACCTATTGTATTCCGCTCATAGCTGCATGTTATCTCTACTAGTAAGGCCCTTGTGTCCAGGAAAAAGGACGGAGCCAACCTTTTAGAGTTTTAGGGTTCTGGATAAGCCAGTTCATCTACTTACCCACAGCCGCCGTTGGTGTTTCTGTGTCTCGTTTTGCAGCACACGACTACCGTATCGAGCGATTAGGTATCAATGTACTATGCAAACGTCACAAGATTCTCGAAACCAGCCATCTGCGCTTGGCCCGCCAGGTATGTCGGCACAGACACAGTTCTAAATTTAGATTCTACTCTGGAGCACATTGTTCTAAAATTAGATTTCTTTCATTCAAACGCAAGAGCCTGTATACTAAGCATTAGCGCTTGGCCCGTCAGGTAGGTTGGTACAAACACAGTTCTAAATTTAGATTTTACTCTGGAGTACACAGATCTAAACTATCGTAAAAATACGTATACCAGGCGTCTGCGTTAGGCCGGTCAAATATGCTGGCCCAAGCACAAATATAAAAATTAATTTGTTCTCTGGGCCCTTCGATTCTAAAAATAGATTCGTCCCGAGTGCACGTGCTATAAAGAGATTCCACACCCAGAGTATACAGTTCGGAACACATACCCATTCTCCAAAGTCGTTGATACTAGCACCCGTGTATTCGATAGAGTGGAGTGCGTGTCATTCTATAGCGAAGGAGGCCTTAAAGGCGAACCACCGGTGTACAATCTTCTACTCAGAAGTCTCTGCCATACTCACTTGTTCTATATGTAACCTGTTATATATATAACTTGTTATATATATATATATATATACCTTTCTCTATATACAGCAACCCGTGCATGTGATTGGACGCGTTTCCTGTGATAGCGAAGGAAGGCTCAACGACAAGTCCCTAATACTCGAGGGCACACGCGAGGAGTCTAATGGCGAAAGAGTCCCGTTAGATATGACCGACATGGCTGCTTTCTCTCTTTTCCCAGGCCAGGCAAGTACTTCTAATACAGAAACATGGAACATATATACTAGGGTATATTTGTTTACATACGTAGTGGTGAAGCGTAGGCTATGTTTATTTATTTATTGACCCGAATATGAACATACATGAGCAGTTAAATAGGGAGGAAGCCTTTGGATGTGACTGATATGGTTGCCTTGTTTTCTTTCCGTTAGCTATCTACAAATTGCTCCTGATATATACATCAGGACATGT